ATGTCGGGGCGGAGATCTTCTCGCGGAGTCCAACAGGAACTCAACAGGTTTTTATCCGCGACGGGTTGGCTCGAACATGCGGCTTATGAATCCACGAGGCCCGATAAATCCGTAGGGGTTATTGTTGCGGTGCATTGGGAGGCGTTATCCCCCACCCCCTCGACCGTCGTGAATTTCCGTCTATTTACTCCACGAACAGATGCGTGCACACGATTATCTGCGAGTGAAACGGACAATACGGGAAGGTATAAAACCGTCGACTAAAAGCAGCCCATCCGTCCCTCGGTGAAGTTGGTGGTCGAGAAATCCCGGAATAAATACGCCGTCGCGGTCGTCACGTTCGAGTTTTCCAGAATGGAGGACTGGGGGAACTGTATCCAGAGGGTATCTTCGAAGACAAGAATGGGGCTTCGACTGGTTCGAAATAGTGCTTGGTTCTTATTTCTTATCGTCGTTTTTTGTTTAACACATTGACTGCCACGTCACCCAAATTCCATGGCACATTAGGTCCCTGATTATTATTATTATTAGTATTCATTATTTACGACTAAACTGACATAAAGTGCGTGTCTGGCTATGTACTGTCTATTTCACTGTGGCAGTCAAAGTGTGGACAGGTCATCGATGGTCCGATAATTATTCGCCCTAGAATGTGGTACACACTTTGGGCTTGGATATGGAACGCGATAACGTTGCAGAAAACTGGGGAAAGGGGGCAGCAGGTACCTGCCACCTGGAAATTCCGCTTTTCCTAGTTTCCTCACTACTGTTCTTAGCAGATCCGAGGGTTCCTGATCCCACAAATTCGATCCGCCACGTTTCAGAAATCGTTGGATCGCTCCAAAAATGAGAGAGAAGATGACGAATTGGCTCGAACAAACAACAAAATTCCCACGGTTTTCTGCATATGTACATACTCCGGAATTCGAAGGCGGCACCTGGGGCAGGTCGATTTTCACGCGGTGACTTCGACTCAGCTGGGCCCTCAATGTTACGCGACCCCTATAGACCCTGGTTTATTTTCCCACGCGCTATGGCACCATCCCCTAGAAACACCATAACCCCCATGTTCACGAACAACTATTTACCAGACCGGCAGATTTTGCATCGGAAATGTTGGTGAACAAGGAGGAGAATCGGAGGTGGGGGTGGTTCAGACTCTGGAATGTCTACGTAATTGCTTCCCTAATTAACCTGGGTAATAATTCCACTGTTCTGAATTCACGGTTCTTCGGTAGGAGAGGCGGAAACGTATCTACGTTTCACTGGGAATATCGGGATTTTCGCTCTGGAGACAGGGTGTATCCAGAGTGTAAGGAGAATCGAGGGATTCATTAAACCGGACATGGATTGTCGCGCGTTCCCTTCCAATGAGCACTCGACGTTCAACTTCCAGACGAGAGAGTTTCGAATAGTTTTCGGCTAGCTTTGTCGATAAGACGGCGAAGACGAACTGGATGAAAGGACATCGGGTACTTTCCAGGTAGAAACCGTGGGAACGATGCGACGTACCGCGGGTCTTAAAGTAGATCCTTAAGTAGTCCCTATTGATGTCGTAGGACTGTATAGACGCGCATGATTTCCGTCGTAGCCTCTCAGACAGACTAGAAATTAGCTTTCGAAACGTTGCAATTTCTCTTTGCATATAAATCGACCATTAATGTTACATCGAAAGGGCGAAAATATTGAACAGCAGTGAAGCCTTAAAGGCCAATTTACGCTCAAATAATTTCTTCACAAGAAATTCGCAGAAATTCACATATTTTCAGGCCACTTTACACCAGGCTCCCCCCTTGAAGACCCCGTTCAATTTTGTTGCAAGCTTGTTAATTCATTTGTCCGAATGCCTGAAATACCAGTAATTATTTAGCTGTCCGATCGACTATCACGACCGCACTGTATCTCTCTCCACAAAATCTACCAACTCGACCCATGGAAAACGAAGAAGGGAACCACCACGTTGGCTCATGAATGCGAGTTAATCTCTTTAAATGCGGCCCCTTCAAACTAGCTGGCGGCCTGGACCGGACCAAGTCGAATTCACGGGAGTGAACGGGAGAACGAGTTGCCCTCGACCGATTCGATAAAGAGCCGCATTAAGGCAGGGATTAATCCGTCTCTACGCGATGGCGGATATTCAATTCCAGAATACGCTTTTCCCCGGGTATCAGTGTTATCCAGTTTCCACCTGGAACGCGTAATTATCGTAGGACGGAGTAACGGCGGATAATATCGCGAAACGAGAAAGAAATCGTCGGGATTGGCCGAGCACAAAAGAGAACCGATGGCGAGACGCTTGCAGTGTTTTCTTAATTATTCCCGAGTTTTTCCTACCTGCGCACGGCGTGTTTCTTCTTCCCTCTCTCTCCATTCGCGGCGTAAAATTGAAAACCTCTACGAACTGCCGCCAGTCCATGTAATAGAGTTTCCTGGTGAGAGAGCGATTAACAGTCACTGTTCTATGCGCCCAATTCCTTTGCTTGCCGTATATAGGTATGTATACAATACATACACGCTGAGCGTCAGCCAAGACGATACATAATTTAGGATAAATGTCCCGATTACTGCCGGTGTCCCGAATACTGCCACCTTATTTATTTTACTTAATAAAAATATAACGTATAGAGAATTTTGTGTATGAAAAATTTTATCATTAAATTGAGACTCTTGTTATTGCAAGTATTTCTCAATTTCATAGTATTCAAGAGTATAAGATTTGCATAAAAACCAAAGAAACACATCGAAAGAGATGTTAAATAATATTATGTTCGAAACTGAGACAATTTTTAGATTAAACAACGGATAAAATAATGAAATGACAAGATGCACGACTACGTTATCCGACATCAAAGTGTTAAGGTGGCAGTAATTGGGACACCTACTCCATTCCTGAACCTGTCGGGACCCACCTGGAGCACTTGTTGCCGTGTATTTCAATGTTCGAGGCGCAAAAGTGAATGAATAAACGCCTGGAGTACAAAATTGATCCTGATACGACCCGTGTTTTTAGCTCGACGACGAAATGTAACATGGTCCACGGTGACGTTTTCGCCTTCAGAGCCCGCGTCAAGCGATTCAAGAGGGACAATTCTTAAGTTATTCGATACTTATATGTAGGATAGCGGGCGCATACTTTACGACGAGAACTTCGATTCCAGACTCGAGAGAACGCCACACACCTCCCTTCCCCAATCCCATTAAAGTTCGAGCGTTCTACAGCGTTCCAAAGGGGTGAACTTTGAAAACTGATTACGCGTTTTCGAAGGGATCGCAAGTCCTGCTTCGGTTCTTCGGGTACCGAACACGCTTCGGACAGCCTTCAGAATACGTCTGGTGTACGGGAAAACCGATCGTGCGTACGCAGAAAATGTTGTTCTCACCACAAATTACTCGCAAGCGTGCCGTAGCAATTTCGCAAGTGGAGATTTCAATTTTTAATCCAGTAGCTGGTGTACACGCGCGCGTAAGTATGTCAGCGTAGTCCTGGCTATTGGTCCTCTTTAAGACGAAACATTTACGAAAATACACGAGTAAAAAGAAGTTCTCGACAAATCTTTAACATGAAATTTCGATTTTCCAATCGAAAAGAACTTCTTTCACCCGGGGAAAAGTAAACGGATAAATGGAAACGATCGTGTCCAAAGTTAGTTTTCTAGAGCGACCTCGGGCCGTTTCTATATCAGGTCGAAACCTCAGCTCTCAGGGAACAATGCGCTCGAGAAATCGAGGTGTCGTACAACGATATCCATACGAGACCGTCATCGGGGTCAGTCCCGTGAAAGATGGGAATTATCGTCAATGAAATATAACCCCCGATTTTATTGTTCTACACGATGGAGCTTTCTATCCAGGCTCGCGCACGTTCCGTATTCCGGTCAGTCTTTAGATTCGTGATTAATCGGAGAGCCTCTGCACTCTGTGTTCGGGTAGGGGACCATAAAACGCGATCGTATCTGTTTCTGGAAACTGAGAAAGATTAGGAAAACTCACTGTGAATATCGTAGAAAACTGCAACCACACGTTTTACACCGACAACCACGATCGCCCATCTAACCTTGATTCTCTGAAATTTTTATGTTCCTATTCGACGCTCGTAGGTCATCTATTAAAGGTCCCGTGGACGGCGCTATCGCGCGTCCTCTTTGTATTATCGCGAGCAGAGGTAAGAGGGGGCTAAAAGGCTTTCCTGATCGATTCTCCCCGAATCGTCCGCGGAACCGGCAAAACCTGCGAATTAAATGTCAGGCGTCGAATTTAGAGCCGACAAGTAGCATTCGTTTCGCCAAATCTACCACAATTGGTGGACGCTCCTTTTTTTCGCCCCTATAAAACCGTTCCTTGTATGTGTACGCCAAAGGAGAAAGCTTGTACACAGTTGGCCATGACCGAGCGGCGGGACGATTCTTCATTGTAAGGCAAACCCTCGTTGAAACCTACCCCCCCCCCGCCCCCACAATCGCTTTTGCACCGAGTAACGTCCGCAAAATTACATCTTCACTCTTCCCCGTTTTTTGCGGAAATGTAAATCTTTAAATGATTCTGTAACGACGCGATAATGGTGTGCTCTCGATCCCGAGACTTTCATTGGTAAGACCGTTCTTTGGTCCAACGATATCTACGCCACGAGTAACAAGTGTTCGCGAGGGACCAGGTTACACTGTTTGAACACGAAGATACGGTGGTCCCGGTGAAAGTTTCGGGTAACTGACGTTACCACGTTTTGGTACAACCGACATTTAAGCCATGGCATGAGGTAATTGGATTCCAGGAAATATTTAAAAAAAATGGGGTAATTGCAGTCACTGTGAACTAGGAGCGCAGGTCAAAGTTGAAACGTATTCGACACGACTGGATTTTCTACAGGTTAAGATTGTTAAGACAAAGGTCATCGAAGTTCACGAAAGCTTGAGAACTCGAAAACTCACGACTAATACCACGGATACCAGAGACTCGGTACGACGCTTGTCGGAATGAAAACACCATGGACGTTGTAGGCTTACTGTGAACCATTGCAGAATCGCAGCGTTGCCTCGAATCCCGTGGATCGCCTCGCGGATCATCGGGTGTCGCCGGCGGTAGACAGCTGTCACACGAGGTCGTCGTAGAAGGAGAAGCTGGGAGGAACGCGCGACGGATGAAACGAGAGACAGGTCTACTGGCGGACGGTGCCGCGCTCGTCGACGAACTGCTGCCACGGGTTCAGCTCGGCGGCGCGCGCTTCGCCGCTGCTCAGCTCTCGGCGATTTTCGGCCCTGTTCGCGGCCGTTCGACAGCCCCCTGTGTCCTCTTGTTCCGGGGCTCGCGCAAACTACCCCCTTCCCCCCATGCGTATACAGAGTATGTCCGGTTTAAATGTATACAGGCTATTGTTTCTCTAATTATTGAAAATACGAGAACATGTTTCGTATGAAACTTATTTTGATTAGAACTGTAAATATTCGGATATTCGAACTACTCCAATAATTCGAATAATTTCGGATACGAATAATTTATTCGAATAATTCGAATACTTTGAATGTTTTGAATATTAAATTCAAATTCTATTGTTATTCGAATATAGTCGTATTAGAATTATGGAGTGAATTTACACTTTTGTAAGAACATTTTTTTTTCATATCTTCAACGGTCTATGGGATATTCCTATCTTTTTCTAGTTAAAAGAATACACACACTCTATGTTATACATGTATGTATTGTATGCATACTACAAACCGCGCGTGTGCAACATTCACGCTGGGACGATGCGTGGACCGGACAGCCGAATTAAACGGATTAGGATCTCCATCGGGGGTGCGCGCGCGGTACCGGCGAATTACCTTCACGGCATCCATATTATACCTCGATAGCCGAAACTCTGACCGGTCGGATCCTTTGTGACGATCCCGCGTAATTTGGTTTGCGCGACGATTCCGCCACGCGCGCCACCGAGATTGAGTTAAGGCCAGTAATACCCTGGGTGTTGATTCTTGGATGTTTGGGAGGGCGGGGAGGGAATAGGACAGAAAGTGGGTAAACCGTTGTTGGGGGGTGGGGGTGGAATGGGAGGTGAATTATTATGGAGCATTTGAGCGGTTACTCGTGCAACCGCTCTATTTATAATAGTAATGGTAATGGTAATACGATTTTATTATGTAACTCGATAGAACGAACATGAATACAGTGGATAGATAATGTAAACTTTCGAAGGAATTGGTATGTAAAGGGCAGAGTTTGGCAGAATTTTATTTAAATAATACATACCGAAAAGCAGTAATAATCTAAGATCGTCATCCTGGCCTTTGAACGGCTAATGAGATTAAATAGTGGTCTACTCATTCCGATAACGAATTCGTTCGTCTCTGACGAGATACAACGCAGATTGTCAGCGCTACGGTATCAGTCTGAAAAATCGTAGAGCACGTTGCACTTTATACAACCGTTTAATAAAAACAGATGGACAAAGTTCAGACGTGTATCGTGCTTAATTAATAAAAGCATACACCTCCGTTATACACTCGCCTTTCCCAGACCTACAATATCCAGTTTCATTTTCCCCGGACATCTGTTACGTATCTGTGTTTCGTATGTTTACACTGTAGAACGCAATAAGTACGTATCATGATTACCGTATTACGCAGGAAAAACGACGTAACCCAGCGCCGTTGCTGCCACACATCGAGCGCAGCCAGATATGCGAACGAAGATGTACAATAGAAACGTAGTCGAGTTTGCGGGATACCGTAAGCAACTTACTTTGTGTTTTCCGAATAACGCGAAACCACGGGAACATTCAAGTATTTCTATCGAATAGAACGCGCGTCGGACAGAGAACTGGCTTCCTCGAGTTTCCTGCAGCAGGTTGCTCAGGATTAACGAGGTTTTACGATACTTTTATACTTTTTCCCCACCCCCCGTTTCTTTGCACCTTAACCGGAGCGCGCACGGTTGCCCCGAGGCCGGACTACACGTCCGATCATAAAAAGAAAAAAAATCTGGCGAAACTTTCCTGTACCCGCGGAAGGAGAGCGAAAAAGTGGCGAGTAAAAGCGATGATAAGAGAGTAGGTGCGAAACGGACCACGAGCCAGTGTGCAGTCAGATCGGTGGGCAGTGATTATTATTAGCCAAAAAAAATGTTCATTATCGAACAGCTAGCAGTAGAATAGTCTAAGCTAATCACTAAACTGCGGATGTTTATGCATTTATAGTAAATTTTAATAAACAAAATCCAGTAAAATAAAGACTTTAATAAAACCTAGTGATATTCATATAATATTATCAACATAATAAGACATCTAGTACAGGAAGTGAATTTTTATTTCATTTTCATATTAATAAATTAATATCTAAAATTGTGAATTTCCATAAACATCCACAGTCTACTTATCACATTTCGTGGTTAACCCCCGTATACTGTTCGCGAATCTCAGTGGCTACTATGGCGTAATCGTTCGTACCATGCGTAAGTATCCTTTTTCCGGGGGGGGGGAGTCGCGTCTTAACGTCGCTCGAGAGGCGCGACCTTACGGCATCTCTGGCCTTGGCACGAATGAAAACGGACGCTTCAGCGCTGCCAGGACATGCTAAATAAGCGTGTCGAGCCAATTTTTTAACGGTATCCAAATCAACCATCGAACTATAACGTCATAAAGTCTGTGAGTGGCACCGGTCCCGATAGCGCAATTTGACATCTCCCTATAATTCGACCGGCTCGAATCCCAATAGCGTCGGCTAGACGGATTGGCCTGCATAATAAACCACCGACAACGACGACGACGACGACGACGACGATGACGGAAGCACAGATCCCTTCCCACCTGGCCATTGTTTCGATTCTCGCCTCTAAACGCGCCTGTATACAAATGTACACGTACATACCAGGCTTCGGAGCAGAGGCGGTTGATGATGTCGGTGTCACCGAAATTTCCCGTAACACGTATATCCCATTTCCGGTCACTCTCCTCTCTCTCTCTCTCTCTCTCTCTCTCCTAGACAGCTGTTCCACGAACCGAGGACCGGACCATCATCTCTCTGGTTTGACTAATTTAAGAGGTAACGCCACGATGATAGGCCAAAAATGGTAGGACAACTTTGTAGGTGATTTTAACCCTTAGTGACCCTCCCGCCCCCCCACCCGTAATATCGTTCAGGAAATGACAGTAAGACTAAAGATGTAAGTATTCAGATATTTGAACTATTAGAATAATTCGAATAATTTGAATAGTACGGAGTATTCAAATACTAGAAGTGATCGAATTTCGAATTGTATTGAATTGGAATTTGAAAAACATATAATTGTAAACGCCAACGTGAAAAGAATTTCACGATAAAGTGTGAAAAAATATATTATGCTCGGATATCTATTCAGTACAATTCAATTTTGATCACATCGAATATTCCGAATATTTCAAATACTTTGAATACTTTGAATACTTCCAATGACTCGACTATCAAATTCGAATTTTACTGCTATTCGAATATTCGTAAGAGTCCTAAGTAGTACGAAGGATGCGTTCTCCTCGAAGGACTACCAATGGTCGTACAGTGTCGTATACCCGTGACAAAAGGCGCCACAAGCTACAAACTCGAAGATCGACCAGAATCGCCCCCGGTAAGGCTTCATAACGGCGGCGCCTCGAAGCCCCGCCGCCAACGGTTAATTTAATCGACAATGAACAAGCAACAGCAACTCCGTGGGAGAAGAGGATGACGGAGGTGTACAGAGGTTCGTTAACTGTGCGAACGTTCTTCGTATTGTCGCGGCCGATTGCAGAACACTCCGCGTCGTGAACTCTGTGTCGCCTCCTCCTCTCTACCCAAGGAGTTTCAACAACGCCTTCGAGGCCAACACTCTCTCGCGTTAGTCCTCTCCAATTACGTAGCTTCCGGTTTTAACGCGACTGGCAGCACCCTCCCCCTCTCTCTCTCCAATGTCTCTGCTTCCTCTCTGCACCACCTAGAGCGGAAGAAGCGACGCGTGCTCCGGAGGACATGTATGTACATATTTCCTAGGCGAGCGTGATTAGCCGTGGGGATCTAACGATTTTTACGCGATTCATGGTACATACTTCAGAGATCTCGAGTTCTCGACGAATCGACGAGAATAGTCAATATTGGCTAAATCGTTCAGAGCCGTAGGGTTTATCGTGTGGACGAAAAATGCGAAGGAAACACATACAGTAAATTCTTGATGAATGTTCGAAGGCATCTCGGCACTGCACTAAACCACATTAAAAAGTCAGCGTTACAATCTGGGCACCTCTCCCTGTCAATGTTTTGTACCTTCGAACACTCATCGAGAATTTACTGTACAGTGAGATATAGCGGTAATGCGTGCTGTCGTTCAGGAGGCGCGCAAAGCTCGATTATCCGAACAATATTTGAAGCGGCTTGTTGCCCCGTTGACCGTTCATCGGTGGAACCCAGATTCCAGGGCGGAGGGTGGGGTGGATCTCGTATTCGACAACCGAAAAGTAATAATTCGCTACGGCTGAATTTGCACGCTCGTTCGCTGCGCTTCGTTTTCGCTACAGGCGGTGCCATCTGCACGCGACGGAATAATAAACAAATCCGTGAAATAAACGGAAAACAGCCGTGAAACGTATTTCACGGCAAATTAATCGAGGATTTTCAGAGTTGGATAAGTTCGGACAACCAGCGAATGTATTATTTTTCTGCCTGATTACTTTTGTAGTTAGTTTCTTTGTTCGGCCAGTCGCAACGGACCAACAAATTTGCGTTTATTCGCTTACACTAAACGTGTCGAAGAATCAATTTCGACACTCTCCCTTCCCCCCGAATAATTCTGAAGTATGGTTGGAAGTTATTGCGAGGCTGTCTACGCGAATTCGCGTGAATTTTCTTTTTCCCCTGACCCAGTTTCGCGCAGCCACGGACACAGATAAGCAGGGACAGGTTATGCTGGCCGGCCCAGGCCGGATAATGAATCGCCCGCAAATGTCAACCGACCAGGCAACCACCACCATCGAGTTATTCGTATAGGTGTTTCGAGCGTGGACAGCGCGTGGATTCTCCATTAATCGCGATAACGAGGACAGAACCGATGGTCGAATGGTCGAAGACGAGGTG